TTGACCTCCTCAGGCACCAGCACGAGCTGGCAAAGGAACAATTGGACATGCGTCAGCTTGCCCTCACCAGCCAGCGCTCGCGAGGCCGACAGAGGAGTCCTTCCTTCAGGAGTTCACAGAACAGATTGGGATCAGGCCTCGGACAAGAGGTGTCTGATGGGCAACTTGTCCACCACCACTACCATATGTAGAAGGGAGGATGAGGAGTTCCTCCTCCTCCTACTCCTGCTCCTTTTCTCCTCCTCCTCCTCCTCCTCCTACTTGTGGTAGCGGTGGTGGGAAATGGGCCCATCTGTGTCCGTTCTCTGCCCGAGGGGCACTGCCACCGCGAGCAAAAGTGGCGCTCGGGGGCTCCCCGCCCCCTCGGTGGGACTCCTCTGTGGTCCTCGCTTGGCTCGATGCGAACCCTTTGGCGCGACGCTGTCCAGGAACAAAAAGGTGGAGGTACCGGTCTGGTTAAAGACGTAGCCGGGACGGCGATGACATCGGGCGAGAATGCATCGAGAATCTCTGAGATCCGGCGGCTCTGGAAGATGTATCGGGCGCCGCGGCCTTCTCAGAGCGTTCCGGAACGCTCCAGAGCGGATCTATCCTCGTCCTACTACCCTCGTCAGAATTAACCTCAAAAATGGCGAACACGCCCCTGCGATGTCGGCGCGCCCTCCAATGTCGATAGACGATGTCGGGGCCAGGGCAAAAGAGGTCTGACCGGGAACGACACGGAAGCTCGATGGTGGCCGACATTGGAGGAGCGGCGCATACACGTGCCTCGCAGTCATCGCTACTCTGTCCAGTATCTCCCCACGAACAGTTCAGCCACGTAAGGCATTTTTGGGGTCAATTTCGACGAGGGCTGTACACCCTGCGAAATGCTTAAGAAATCATGGGTTAAGAAATTCATAGTCTCAGAACTTCAATAAAAATCCAACATTTCTATTCAAATCTTAGGATTTACATTGAAACGTTAAGAATAATCGAGACTCTGGCCGAAAACTTGGGTTTTCTTAAGCATCGCCTAAGGTGTAGCCCCGTCCAGGCTTTCCTCTCTTGGGCGGGGCTGGCGGAAGCTCTGGTGGGCGTCGGCCTCCACGGGCATCGGGGTGCCCCCTCCAGCGTTCGACCTCTCGGGGCGCGCCGGCCGACCCCCTCCCCGGCCCCGGCCGGGCAGGTCCTGGGCCTGGGATCGGTGCACACTCCCGACCATCATGAGTGACAGCGACGGGAGGAGGCGGAGGAGGAGGAGGAGGAGGAGGAGGAGGAGGAGCAGGAGGAGGAGGCAGAGGAGGAGGAGCAGTCGGGAGAGGGGGTGGAGGACCGAAAGCGATTAGGAGGACGGGTGCCACGAGGAGGATGCGGACGATGACGAGACCGAGGGCGATGGAGTAAGGGCAGGATCGGGGGCGCCCAAACATAGATTGGCGATCTATGGATTTGGCGCGAGGCGGCCACAAAATGCGGCTGGTGCCGCCTCGCTCGTCGGCGGAAATCCGCGGTTTCCCATGGAAACGAAACCCGTCGCTAATCCACGCCCCCTTGATCCATGTTTGCGACCGCCTGAACGATGACGAGACCGAGAGCGATGGAGGAAGGGCAGGATGGGGAGTGGGGTGGGGGGGATGCCTCCCCTGCTCCTGCCCCACCCGAATTGCGCATACTGCAGCCCACTCGGAGTCCGCGCCCTCGACGAGGCCCACGCCAGTCCCCGTCGTCCGCCCCCCACCGGGGGAAATAACTACAGTAGGGATCCGACTGCAAGAAACCTCCCGCAAGAAACCCAACCCTGAGACCCCAGGGCGTCCATTGATGTCTGGTGCGGGAACGTTGCGCTTTCCATGGCAACGCTATCGAGACACAAGGAACCCAGGGCACCCTGGAGGCGAGCAGGGTGTTTCTTGGCACGGGCCCCCACAATATTCGAAAATTCGGGACGGAGGTTCTTCCCAATGTGTGGCCTAATGGGGGCCTCGCCTCGGGATGAAGAGCCGGCCCCAGGGAAAGGGTCGGGACTTCGTGGGACCGCGCATGGAAAAAAACAAGGCATCAGCTGTCAGGGTACGCCCGCCTATCATGAGGGGCAGCCAGCAACAGTGCTGGCATCGGCGGTGCATGGTCGATAGACCGGCGATAGAAAGCCCCCGATAGCAAATCCGCACGCTCGTGGGCGTGGTGGGCAATCGGACCCCCTCGGCGATCAATGGGCGGTTGGAGGTCGGTGCATCCCCCCCAGGACTCGAAGCAGATCCAGCAGTGACGACCAAGGCCGACCCAGAGGCTCAAAAATGCGAAAACGAGGGAAGGCTAGCGGTATCGGAATCCGCCACGGTGCCTCTGGGCACCGAGTGGGCGTGTCCTCAGGCCCTTGGCCTAATCCCTCAGGCCTTAGTACTCAAGCTGAGTCTTTAAGGGGCCAGGGGCCCAACTTGCCAAATCTCCTGGGGATTAACGCCGCTTGTGGGGGGGGGGCTTCCCGCGCCTTGTCGCATAAATGGTTCGGAGCCAAGAGGGCCCCAAGACGGGCCAAGAGGGCCCCAAGAGACTCCAAAGATGGTCCAAGGGAGCTTCGAAACACCTAAAGATAACTTCAAGACGCCCAAGATGGCCCCAAGAAGGTCCTAGTGGCCTTCAAGACGCCTTCGAAGAGAGCCCCAAGAGGGACAGTCATGTATGTTCCTTGAAGTGTTTGAAGGATTTAGGCCTTCTCGCCTTTTTCCAGCTTCCCGACGCTCCAAGACGGACCAAGAGGCCCCAAAGGGCGCCCCAAGACGGTCCCAGGGCCCAAGAGGGCCCCAAGGCGGCCCAACCGCGCCCAAGACGGCCCAAGAGGACCCAAAGATGGCCCCAAGAGGGCCCTAGACGGGGAGCCCGAGTGGACATTTCCAGCCCGCGGTCCCTAGGGGCCCCAAGTAGGCACCCAAGAGGCCCCAAAGAGGCCCCGAGAGACTGAGAGGTCCCCAAGAGGCCCTAAGAGGCCTCCGAGGGGCCCCAACGAGGCTCCCAAGAGGCTCCACGACTGCTCCCAGCGTTTTTTTTTTTTTTTTTTTTTTTTTTTTGTTTTTTTGTTTTTTTGGTGTTTATATTTATATATATATATATATATATATATATATATATATATATATATATATTATTGTTTGTTTTGTTTTTTTCCCGCAGAAGGACTCCCCCTGGGGCTTCGGCCCAGCGCGCCCCGGCCGCCCGAAGGGGCCCCCAAACAACCTCGACGTCCAGAACAGATCCCCCGAGGCTGCTCCAGGTGGCCTCCAGGTTCACCCAAGAAGGTCCAAGATGGTCTCCAAGACGGCACCTGAGGCTCCACGATACCTCCAAGTCCGCCCAAGAAGCCTCCAGGACGGGCCCGGACGACGCAAGTGGCCCCCAAGAAGCCTCCTAGGCAGCCCAAGAGGCCTCCTAGAGGTCCTCCAGGGAAGCCCGAAAAAGGCCCAACCCAGTGCTTTTCCTTAGGCTTTGAAGGACTTGGGCATTTGCTTCCTTCCAGCCTTCCGACGGCCCTAGACGGCCCCAGAGCCGCCCAAGAGGCCTTCAAGATGGCCCCATACGGCCCAAGAGGCCACCAAGACGGCCCCGAGAGGGCCCCATGACGGCCCCAGAAGCCTCCAAGACGCCGAAGGTGGCTTCCACGACGACCCTGAAGCGCCATGAAGGGGCCCAGAGAAGGCCCAGAGAGGCCGCCAAGACTTGGCGGCGAGCGAGGGGGGGAAATGAGAAGGAGAAGGCCTTCTCAGAAGGCTCGGAAGTCCCCCGGCCTTCTGAGAAGCTTTCTCGGCCTTCCCCAAAAGCTTCTCGGAAGGCGCGAGGGCTTCTGAGAAGTCCCGCCGCCTTCTGAGGAAACCTTTTCCTTCTCACTTCATCCCCTCGCTCGCCGCCGAAAGACGGTTTCCGACTGCGTCAGACGTGCCAGGAACGCCATAACTACGACTGCCGAAGAGGCCCCAAAGAAGCTCCCAAATGGCCCCAAGAGGCTCAAGGAGGCCACCAAGAGGCCTCCGAGAGGCCGCCAGGAAGCTCCTGGGATACCCTGAGTGCGCGCCAATTCGTTCCAAAGAAGCCTCCTCCTCCTCTTCCTTTATCCTCCCCTCCTCTTCGTATGATCACTAGTATTCTGATTATTAATATTCGTCTTCTTCATATGTTTATTACGATTACTATTACTATTGTTCGTGGTATTATCTCTTGTCGTAGTATGATTAAGAACAGTAATCGTATTAGTTCCCTTATTATTAATATGGTCATTCCTCTGCTTCTTTCTTGCCGACGTGTTCCTCGAAGGGTTTCCACAACGGCTGGGGGAACATATAGTCCGATAGCTTGACCGAACCATGGCGATAACGGTCGGCCATGTAGGCGCTTCCAAACAGACAAGGGGCGGCGGTGATTCGCCGTAGGCGTCTTCGATATTTTCCCCATCTGAAGGATACGGTCGTGAACTGTCGCTGAGCGTATCGCCGCTGCGAGCGGATAGCGTGTCGCTCCGCTCCGCGGGGCGGGAGGCTCAAGAAGGCTCGGGCTATTGACGCCTGTGATGGGCACATTTCCCACAGCCGCTGCAACAAGTAGGAGAGGGAGTGAGGAGGAGGAGGAGGAGGAGGAGGAGGAGGAGGAGGAGGAGGAGGAGGAGGAGGAGTGAACGCACTCAAAGAGGAAGAGACGACGGCAAGCGGACAAGACGCGAGAAGAGGGCAAGTGATCCCGCTCCTGTCTGATGCCGCGCGTCTACCTCCACGTGCGTGCTTTGTCGCGCGGGCGCACAATCGCCGCACGTGCTGCGGTGAGCACGGGGCCTGAAACGCTGGGCGCGGAAGTGTATTCGTGCGGTTCTGGAGCATGCGTGAAAGCGGGGAAAGCAGGGATGGGTGGCAGGAGAGGCGGGGTGAGCAGGACAGGAGGCGCAGGGCTAGCCACTCCGACGGGCCTGGTATCACGCGGGGCCTCAGAACGTGCAGCATCATGCAGGGCTACGCCGGGATCCACCAGAGCATCTGCTAGCCCAGCGAGGGCTGTGCTGCAGCAGCGGAGGTGGAGAAGGTCGGCTCGACGAAGACACGGGGCACCAGGAACAACCCAGCCATGTCGATCTTCATCGGGGCGTGCATCAGCAGCCGCACCAGGCGGCAGGACAGCCCGAGCATCATCATGTAGATCTTCGTCGGGACGGTCTGGTGGAGCGAAGCTGGCCACTCCAGGCGGCACGGTAGCACGGGCGTGGGCATGAGGATTTTCTTCGGGATGGACGTGACAGGTAACGTGAGCCACACCAGGCGGCTGGACGGCGCGGACACTATCATGCAGGTCTTTTTCGGGATGGACGGGACGCGAAGCAGCCACTCCAGGCGGCTGGACGGCACGATCGGGATGGTCGGGACGAGCGTCAGCAACTCCATGCGGCAGAGCGGCATGAGCATCATCATGGAGAGCTTCGCCGCGATCCTCGGCATAAATGCGGAGCTGAGCAACTAAGGTGTCGAAGATCTGTCGGCGAAGAGCGGCCTCCAGAGCAGCCCACTCCGCCTTGTCGTGCAGGAGTGCCTCGGCCTCGTCGTAGGAGGACTGAGCGGAGATCTCCAGTGATTTCTGTAGCATGCGGACGAAGCGGCGCAGAGCCTTCGGGCCACCAGCATGGCGGCGAGGCTCGGAACGTGGGGCCGGTTGGACTTGCCAGTCTCCATCGGCAACGTCGGCGGGACCTTCACCAGCGGCGGCGCGTGGAGGTTCATGGTGAGAGCTTTCGCCACCAGTGACGGCAGCGTCGGGAAGCTCATCGTGCAGCGTGTCAGGCAGCGGGTCGACCGGTGCAGTGGCAGCCACTCCAGGCGGCTGGGCGTCACAATCCGCACCTTGCAGAGGGACATGCTGACGGGCGTTATGAACGGCAGCGTCGGGACGAAGTGCGCCATCAGATGGCTCTCGAAGCTGACGAAAAAAGCCGATGACCTGGTGCAGTTCGCAGCCCTCGCAGGTGCCGAGTGGGATGTAGTACGGGTTAGGCGGCGTCTGGCGGTGAAGACCACTCACAAACAAGGATAGCGACCGCACCATCTCTGCGAGACTGACGGTCATCTGCATCAGGGGGAGCGTGTGGTTGAGCGCTGGTGCAACATGGTCAGGCGCGTCGCCAGCTGCTCGAGGAGGAAGCAGGAGATGAAGAAGAAGTGGATGCCGAACGGCAGGCTGGCGTACGGCAGCACGTCCTCCTTGCAGCGCCTGGCATGCGCGGCGATGCAGAGCGGCAGCGCTCCTGCGATGCGGCATGAGGGGCAGCGTCAGCAGCAGCGGCAGGAGACGCCATCGTGTGGACATATGGATCCGCGAGCCCCGAATGCGGGCGGCGCGACGCTCGGCCAGGTGGCCTTGAGCGAGACAGCTATGGAACTCATTTCGGCTCAAGTCCGAGATCCCGCGGAGGGGACGGACTTGAGCCAAAATGGCTACGGAGGAGGAGGAGGAGGAGGAGGAGGAGGAGGAGGAGGACCTCCTCATCCTCCCTTCTCCCCCGTCCTGCATATTGTAGTGGTGGTGGAAAATGTGCCCATCAGCCTGGGGGCCGCGACGTGGTGGAGTGGTGGGCCAAGAGCCGCTGGACCGACGCGCAAAGCCAGCGGTGCTGACCGTCTCGGGCGCAAGCCAACATGGCTTAGGCACCCGAAGATCTGGCGCGTGTAGGAACAAGGAAAGGCGACACCAACACCAACAGGGCGAGGAGATGCGCGGAGGCAAGGGGGGTCTCCCTGGTGGTGTGGTCCCCCCCTCTCGCTTGAGACATCCCTAGCATCCGGCTCGGGGAGGCATCGTGGACCTCCTGGCTGGAGGTGGGCCCCCTGGTGGTGTTGGTATCGCTTCTCCTCCCTCCGAGCGTGGGCGCCAGATCCACGGATCAGGGAAAGTGCCGCCGAAAGGTAAGGCCACTGCCGCCCCACTCGGCGACGGATCGCGCCGAGTACGTGGACCACGGGAGCCGCCACGAATCCACGCGCCTTCATCCACGTCTACTAGGTCTACATTTCTTTAAGCGTAGCTGGGGAACCAAAAGAGGTACCGATACAGCTTCCCCCCCGGACCTCTCCCGAGGTGCGTTCAGACCATAATTTCGAGGCAAATCCAGCGGTGGCGACGAGGGCCTCCCAGGAGGCCCAAAAAGGGGAAAACGGCCAAAGGGTAGATCTATGGGTACGACAGGTTCGTGTCGTGCCGACTTCGGCGTTGGTTTCTGACACCGCGGGGATCGTTCAACCTTGAACGATCGGCCGTTTCCGAAGCGTCCAGATCGTTCCACATCGAACGATCATGGGTCGCCCGCGGCGTTCAAAGAGGAACGCCGCTGGCAGGGTCGCCGCTGGTCGACACGACACGAACCTACCGTACCTTTCCCTCCTCTGAATAGTCGGCGACTCCGAAGGGTGTGAGTTGCCAAGGTTTCGGTCGGGCATGTCCTCCTACGGGCGGACCTTGGACGAAAAAGAAGGGACAGTCAAGAAAAATACGCCAACAATGCCCACACATTCTCCAAAAAAATCGTCCCCCGACTGTTTTTCTGATTCTGATTGAGTACTGCTCCTGGAGAGGCACAGGCCCGGCTTACGCCAAGGGTGTGGTTCGCAGCCGGCACCCCGGGGGGGGCGCCCACGGGGGGCGGGCGGAGAGGCCCCGACGGGGCCGCTCCGCCGCTCCCCGGGGCGGCCCGACGAGGGCAGTGTCCCGAGGCCTCCCGTCACCTGGGAGGGTCGCGGGAGCTGTGGCACCGATGGCTACATCTCGCAAGCGGCCTAGATCTGCCATGGGGGATTTAACGATACATTGCACATCGATGCAGACAGGCGTTTTCTCGGGCGTTGGCGAGTGGGCACTTCGCGAGTAGTGGAGCGCGCTCGGTGATTAGGACTCAATCCTACATCGGGTGGCAACCTTGCTGAGTGCAGGTGTAAGCCGCGCAAGACAGGTCGTAACTAGTCAACTTCGTTATATTAAATTTTACCAGTTAGCAGAACTTATGATTATCTGCGAGGCTTGCAATCTGTCTGATTGACACCACTTGATCGCTTTTGCAAAAGCCAGACGAAGGCTGGCAAACCCGTGGCTGCTAAAAACGGAGCTCCTGCAAACTGTTTGTTTCCTCCGGGAAGCAGCCCGTCTACTATGTAGTGCGCTGAGTTCGATGCTGGGAATATGTGTTTTTCTTCCAGGAAGACCGTTTTTGCAGCCCTCGCTCAGCTTCCGATACTAGATGGGATCGGAGGGTCGCGCCGCATCGCCGATACATCGGCGATGCATCGGCGACGTCGACGTGAAGCAGATTGGGCTCCACATCGAGCCGCGTCGCCGATGCATCGGCGATGCGGCTCGATCCTCCGACCCCATCTGCTCCGACCCCATCTAGGAGGCCCAGTGCCCCCCCAGGCCCCAACGATGCCGATCGCAAACCACACCCCGGCGTAACCATACCCATTGTAGTCGCCGACGCAGGCCCTGCCAAAATCGGTGAGGCGGTCGGCCGATGTCCCCCGGCGCCTCCACAGCCGGGCAGGGGCCCTCGGCGCACGCCCCCAAGGCCAGCCGCAAGATGCCCTGGCCGTGCCAGCCGGCGTAGCAGACGTGCCATCCGGGAGGCAGCAGGCCCACCGCCTTGCTCCAGGGCTCGAGGGAGGATCGAGGAGCGAGGGCGGATCGAGGATCGAGGAGGACCGAGGAGCAAGGATGCATCGAGGAGGATCGATGATCAAGGAGGATTGAGGAGGATCGAGGAGGACCAAGGATCGAGGGAGGATCAAGGTCAAGTGCACGCTCGTGGCGCTACTTCGGGCCTCCGGAAGCGTCCATGCCTTCCCCATATTAATACCTTCTCCCTGTTTTCTCCTCTTCCTCTTCCTCGTCTCCTCCTCCTCCTTCCTCCTCTCCACTCCTCTTTCTCCTCCTCCTCCTCCACCTCCTCCTCCACCTCCTCCTCCTCCATCCCTCTTCCTTATGAAGAGCTCCACCCTGCTGCACCCCCCGGACGTGTCCGCTGGTCGGGCAGGGCGTTTCGCATGAGGCCTGGCGCCATGTAAGGCTTGAGTTTATACCAGCTGCAGGGGGGTAGGAATGGCCGTTCTCGAGGTGGAGCTCGGGCCCTCGCAGGGTTCTCGAGATGGAGCTCCGGCCCTCGCGCCGCGCGCAGTCGCCTCGAAAGTTTGCAGGCGTCCCAAGGATGTGGGACTCTGGCCTCGGCGCCGCGAGCACTTGCTGCACAAGCTTGAAGCGGCTTCAAGGAAGGAGGCCTGCTCGATTTCAGAATGTGGTTCTCTTTTGGGTGCACGTTCGTCGAGACAGTTTTCAACAGTTTTACGGATTCGTAGAAGGCTGAGTTCCCAGGAGCGTTGCTCTGGTACGAAACAACCACGTGCACCCGCGTTGTCAAAGTCCCAGGAATGGTGGTCTGGCACGGTTCGTTATTACCAGCCAAATTCCCAAATCATTTCGGAAGTTGAAGGGTGCTCGATTCCTATCCAGCGCGTTCATCGTCATATTCCCAAGTCCTGACGAGGCATCCCCATGTTTGGGGTCTGGGGTCACGTAATCCATCCGTGTTCGAATTCTTCGGGCGATTGTGTTTCAATGGACCACCTCCAGCAATGCTGACAGTTCTTCTAAGAACCTATACACACAGAGCTTGGAGGGAGAGTTCATTGCGAAATCGTTGATGCCTCTTGGGTTTAAGCTGGTCCTCCTTCTCATCCTCCTCCTCTTCTTCCTCCTCATCCCCCTCGCCCAACAATTCTATCAAACCAGCCCGCGATCGTCCTGTTTCTACCTCTCTCTTTCTCCCTCTCTCGCTCTCTCTCGCTCTCTCTCTCTCTCTCTCTCATTATCTCTCTCTCTCTCGCTCTCGCTCTGCGGGGCAAGGACAGGGGGGAACCGGCCCCCGAGGGGGAAGCATCGGCCTGGATCGTCGGTAAGCCCTCGAGAGCGAATCCGCACGGTCCTCGGCGGGGTAGGCCGTGGGGCCCCCAGCGGCGATCCATGGGCGATGAGGGGGGATGCCCCCCACCCCCCTGGACCTATCCCCAGCAACACTGCCACGGACTTGCTCTCTTTCTACTGTCTCTCTTTCTCTCTCTCACTCTGTCCTTCTACTGGCTCTCTTTCTACTGTCTCCCTGAAGGAGAAGGAGCAGAGGGCGGAAGAAGAGATGGAAGAGGAAGGGGGCGAACGAGGGGACGGGGGCCAGGAAAAGGGGAGGAGGGGAGCCGGAGCACGCACGCATGATTGTTGGAGTTTGCGGGATGGGGAAGGGGCTGACCAGATCTTTGCCTACGTGTACGTGTCTATATTGACACTGCGCGGGCGTCCAGTCCCCATGCACTGCGTGGTGTCACGCGTGATCGTTTCTCAGGCTGGCCAAGTATGATCCGAGATGGCCCAGACTTGATGGCGGGCGCTGGCCTCTCTTGAGGCAGCGCGCACGTCCGAACGATGCCGAGTGTGTATGTGTGTATATAGACAAACAACAAACACAGGTGCACGCATACACACATACACACATAACAATACATGCATCTACTTGTACATATATATATATATATACTAAAACCACGCGCGCTTCGCGCGCGCTTAGGTTCTAGCCGAGGCCAGCCCTACGGCTGAACATTTGAAGTCGGGGTAATCGTCGCCGTCGGACCAAATCCGCTCAAAACGGATCCCTAGACCCCTCCCCGGGTCCAAACGAGTAAGCGCAGCAGGGGCAGGAGCAGAAGGCGCTGGGAGCGAGAGGGGTGGAGGAGGAGGAGGAGGAGGAGGAGGAGATGGAGGAGGAGGAGGAGGAGGAGGAGAAGGGGGAGCAGGAGGGGAGGGGGAAGAGTTCAACCGACATCGGCTACGGAAGGACTCTCCAGGATCCACCTGACGACTGCCTCTTTTGATGCTCCTTGAGGGACTTCAACCAAACCGCGAGGATCTCGTCGTACGGCGTATGTCGAACGTCATCGGTCGTCCTGGGGCCTCTCGGGGCCTCTCGGGGGCCTCTTGGGAATCTAGTGGGCCCTCCTGGGCGGCTTCTTGAAGTGGAAGGCTCCAGTTGTCGGTTCGGGCTCCCCCATATTGAACCTCTCTTGGGGCCGTGTTGGGGCCCTCCTGGGCCGTCTTGGGCGGCTCGTAGGCCGTCTTGGGGCCCTCCTGGCCGTATTGGGGTTCTCTTGGGGGCTTCTCGGGCTGTTTCGGGGCAGTCTTGGTGACCCCTTGAGCCGGCATGGAGATTGGGAAACCCGACAAGGCGAGAAGGGCGAAGTCCTTCAACAAACACATAGAAAATCTACAAATTTGGGCTCTCGGGGCTCTGTTGGGAACCTCTTGGAGCCTTCTTGTGGCCATGGGGGCCTCTTCCGGGTTTCTTAGGGGATTCTTGGGGCAGAAAGCTCGAATGGTCGGTTCGGGCTTCCGTTCTGGAGTCCCTCGTGGGGCCGTTTTGGGGTCCTCCTGGACGTGCTGAGCGCCTCCTGGGCCGTTTTGGGGCCCTCTTGGGTAGTCCTGGCGTCCTCTTGGGGGCTTCGCGGGCTTCCTTGGGGCGATCTTGGGCGCCTCTTAGGCTGTTTTCGAGCGTCGGGAATCCGAGAAGGCGAGATGACCAAAATCCTTCGAACATCTACGGAAAATAAGCAATTTTTGGCTCTCAGGGCTCTCTCGGGGGTCCTCGTGGGGCCTTCTTGCGGCGTCTGGGTGCTCCGGATTCCATAATAAAGTGGGGGGGGGGGTCACATTTTGGGGGGGGGTCTGATTTGAGGTGCCTTGGAGGGTTCGGGGGGGATCTGGGCAATGGGCCGCCCTTTCATGGATGGTCTGGGGGGGTCTACAATTTCTCGTCTGGGAGGGTTGTGACCCCCTCCCTTTTATTATGAAATCTGGAGTGGCCTCTTGGAGGCCTCTTGGGGCTTCTTCCGGGCCTCTTGGGACCTCCTGGGCGCCTCTTTTGGCGGAAAGCTGGAACTGTCGGTTGGATTTCCCAACCTTGGGCTTCTCTTGGGCGCCTTTGGGGGCCCGTTTGCAGTCTTGGGCGCCTCTTGGGCTGTCCTGGGGCTCTTTTGGGCCGTCTTGGGGCTCTCGGGGGCGCCTCTTGGGCCGTCTTGGGGCGGTCTTGGGGACCTCTGATGTCGTCAAGAACGGTACGACAGCGAAAACCATCAATATGCTAAAAACGCACATCTTGCAAAGGGAATCGGGTTATTTTTGCCTCACGGGGACGTCCTGTGGGGCCTCTCGGGGGCTTCTTAGAGCGTCTGCGAGGCCTTTGGAGGTGTCTTGGGGGCCATTTTGGGCATCTTGGAGCGGCCTTTGGGTGTCTTGTTCTCTTGGCGCGTTCCAGGGGCGTTTTGAGGGCCTCAGGGACGCCCCAAGAGCCTGGGCACACACATTTGTGGTCGTGGTCGCGGCCCCGGGCCCCCGGACCCGGTGCGCCGTTACATGTATACAAGTGTACTCACGTGTGCGCGTGTATGCGATATGTTTCTCTCTTTCTCTCTCTCACTATCTCCCTCTCTCTCTTTCTCTTTCTCTCTCTCTCTCTCTCTCTATATATATATATATACATATCATGATCTGTCCTTTTCCGCTTCTCACTCTCTCTCTCTCTCTCTTCTCTCTCTCGCTCTCTCTGTCTATCCCTCCCTCTCTCCTCCCTGCCCGCGCCGCCTCCGCCAGGCGCCGCCGCGCGTCCGGCGCCACCCACAGCAGGTCGTCCTGCTCGGGCCCGCCCCGTGCGGGGGTGGGGGCCGTCGAACGTCAGCACAGGCGGCCTGCCGCCCCCGTGCCCACAAGGTGCCCACCTACCAAGCCACCCCAGCCCAACCCGAAGGGGAGTTACCCTCGACCAGGATAGTAAGGATGCGCGGTAAGGATACAATGGCCTTGGAACGCCATGTTGACGCGTTCCGTGCGGAGCGCAGCAGAATGCCGAAGGAAGCCGAATACCGAAGGGGCAAGGATGCAAGGGTAGCCTTGGAAAGTTGCCCCATCTTTACTATCATGGTTGACCGCACGGGTTCCATATGTGTTTTTTTCAATGTTCCGCGACCCCCCCCCCAACTGGCAATGGAGTGCAAATTGAGGCCTTCGGGCCAGGTGGTGACAAGGGGTGGGCTGGGTGGCGCGCGCACCGTTTACGCGGCAAGAACCTCGACAACTCGCATGGCAGGAGAGAGGATCATGCTCAAACGGGGCATGAAGGGCAGGAGGATCAGCATCGCGGAGCAGGAGGGGGATCCGGATCCCCATCGCGTCGTGGAACAATTCACGACGGACGGTCTTTGACGGTCTCTGGCCTCCGGGGGCCCCCGCCGGGCCCCGGGGCCCCCCAAGAGCGGCCTGGGATGAGAAGCGGGGCAGTTCGGGCACCCCTGGGGGGACGCGGGTCTTCCGATCGCGCCGCACCGTAGGCACCGCCTAGCGCCAGGCGGGAGCGCGCGCAGCTGAGCTTGCCGAGGCCATGCCTTCGGCAGTCGGCGCGGACTGCTGCTTCATCTGTGGTAGGTATGAAGCGCTCGAGCGAGTCGCTGACATGTGCGATGCAGCGACGTAAGCTGTTGCAGTCAGTGGCGTAGGCGGCTACGTGGCCGAGGCCCCAGAACGTGAGTGCCGCGCGGAAAGAGGATGGTCAGGGGGTCAGGGGAGGCTCCGGAAGCGAGGACAGGAGAAGTAGCGGGGAAATGCGCCCGCGGCATGTGGGCAGCCGAAGACGCACGCGCGAGGCGCCAGGGCGTGCATGCGGGCGGTTGGGGTCCGCCCTCCGCTGAGAGTCTTCAAGACGGCCCAACGCCAGCTCGGACAGAGCCCTTGGAGGGCCCTGGACACCGATTCCCAGCGCTTGGAGAGCTCGTGGGGAAGGGGCAGCTGCAGGCCCCATGAGGCCAGATGTTTCGCGAGCGTGGCGGTGAAGCGCGACGTAAAGCATGCAGCCCGAAGTGATCCAGCGAACGATCTTTGAACGCGGGCGCGGCGGGGCAGCGGCAGCGGCAGCGGCATCTGCAACCTCGGCACGGCCCTCTTCTTGAGCGGAGCTGATCACCTGGGTAGGGAAGATGCCGCGGCGTTGCCCCTGGAAGTCATTTGGAGGTTTCTGGGGGGCTCTTACGAGATTTGTAGGCCCTGGGGGGCATCGCGGGTGTATTGGGGGCGTTTCTGGCGGGGGGGTCGCCGGGGACCTGTAGACTTCCTCATCTTGGGCTCCTCTTGAACTCTGCTTGGAACCATCTTGGGCCGTCTTCGGAGCATCGCAGGACGTCTTGAAGCGGCCGGAGCGCCGGCCCACAATACTGTGAGGACAACGACGACGAGGGCACCGAGCACAGAAGGAGGCACAAACGGCGAGGCGACAGGCGGGAGGGCGACAGGGCGAGCACGACGCAGAGCCACTGCTGGGCCGCTCGCCCCCCCCCCCTTGATGGTCTTTCTTCTGAGACTTGCAAAGGGATATTAGGACACGCAAATAAATACACACAAATAAAACTAGTCCCCATAGTTTCCCATATTTTCTGGGTTTTTGTCTTCCCCCCCAATTCCCATAGTTTCCCATATTTTCCTGGGAATCGACGATTAATTGTGTCTGTGTGTTTTTTTTCCCTCCTGATCTTTGCCTATGTGTATGTGTCTATATTGACATTGCGCGGGCGTCCAGTCCCCATGCATTGCGCGGTGTCACGCGTGATCGTTTCTCAAGCTGGCCAAATATGATCCGAGATGGCTCAGACTTGATGGCGGGCGCTGGCCTCTCTTGAGGCAGACGCGCAAACCAGGAATTCCAAAGCCCCCCCAGGACGCCCCCGCCAAACAAAAACCTCTGAGGGTTTCTGGCTGATTCGGAGAGGGGGTGGCCCCTCCAGGAAGGGCCGTGAGCTGAGGCTGGCACCGAAATGACCCACTCGCCCACATTGAACAGCACCCTCGCGAAGGGCATGCTTCAAAGCAGGTTATGGCCGCGATTTTGAACAATCCAGGCCAACTTCTCAATTCCCACAACTGAGGTTCGCACCAAAACCTGACCCTGGACTGTTCTAGTTCTAAACACCGCCCTGTTGAAAAGGAGCGTTTCGAAGAAAGTAAGGGCGTCTATCTTAAGATGCCGTGGCACGGGCGCCTTCCATCCGCGTAACTGATGGTGATTGGAAATATGTGCGCGCGGCGCTACATCCAGAGAAAGCCGGCGGCGGCCCGCCCGCGGTGTCCGCGGCGGTCGCTGCCGCTCGCAAGGCGCGCGTGCCCGTGCTCCAGCCGAAGTGCGCGGGTCTCCCGGGGTGAAACGCGGCTTGGGCAAACACGCCAAGGGGCCGCCACAGAGAGAAGCCGACGCCTGCTAGCGAGGAGGGCACATCTGTGGGCTCCTGCTGGAAAGAGAGGCGGCAAGGAGTTGGGAGAGAGGGGAGAGGGGAAAGGAGCTCGGACCAGGAAGTGACCGCTACGCGGTCAGTCCAAGTCGCAACCCACCGACAGAAGGTTGAATACTGCGCGTGCTGCAACGATAAAAACAGCGCGCGCGCCCCCCGCATCCAAGCCTTGTATGGACATCGCGAACAGAGCGCCTGTCCACCGAGCTGGGGTGCGCCTGCGCAGGCTGATCATGCCACAGGTTTTCGCCTCGCGGTCGCCGCATTACCGCAGCTCGCACACCGCTAAGCTTCAGCGGCCGTCGCGGGCGTCGAATTACAGCAGCTGTGCTGTCGCGGCAACGCCGTGCCGCGCTATCGACAAGTCTGCGGGCAGGCCTCACGCCTCCTCACCAAGGGTCGACGACGTTGTGGACTCGGCACTGTCCCCCGGCTGCTTTGCAGGGCTGAAAGCCTCTTTCTGCAGCGTGCTGCTGCACCTGGCCTGGAGCGAGGCTGAGATCCCGGCCAGGCTGTCCTCGAGCCCGGCGAACATGCTCTGCAACATCTTCTTAGTCTGCCGGGCCTCCTGTTCGAGGCGGGGACGTATCCATATCCACAGCATGTGTAACCCATGTCCTGGGACCCCAAGGGGGCCGTGGACATGGATAGATTCGGGCCCCCTAGGGCCCGAATATATTATTATAAATACACAGACATGAATATCCATATCCATATCCACCGCCTGCCGAGGTCCCCGAAGTATCCCCCAGGCGGTGGTCCTGGAGTAACCCCCGCCGCGGATCCTGCAGATGGATGAGCATGTCCAGCGACTTCGCGGCGCCCTTCAAGCGCAGACACGCGCTGAGGAACTCCTCGAACTGCACCTCCCCGGTCTCGTCGACGTCGAGCAGCGCAAACACGTACTTGGCCTCGTCTGCGCTGACGCTGATGTTCTTCCACTCCTTCGCCATGCCCGGGTCGCCGAGGCGCTGCTCGAGGTCCGACTCGGTGATACAGCCCCAGTTGTCGCCGGCCTTGCTCTTGTGGAAGAGCGCGACGATCTGGTCGGTGAGGAAAGTCTCCTCCTCCTGCTCGGCGTTGTGAAGCGCGGTCTGAACGAAGACACCTGAGCTAGAGGAAGAAAACGCTGCATGGGCATGAACTGTTGGAGGTCCACGCGGACTTCTTGGATCTGCGCTGGGCCCCCCTCCTTGGGACAGGGAACGCGCTATGGACGGCGCCGGAGGCGCCGCCAGTGGGATCCAACGCAGATCCAAAAAATCCGCTCGGACATCCAACATAATATGCTTACAATCTGACGTAGGCCAGAAACACGTCTCTCAAGAGCACGAGGCCCTCCGCCGGCCAAAGCAAACCGAACCCCCTCCCCAGGATGCGCAAGACCACCCAACAAGCACGAAGAATACTGGGGCACCCTCCCCGAACCGACCTCGATCTTACACCTCGGTCCGACTGTATGCATTCTCTGGTTCCTCTCAGCCACGGGCAGAAAGGCGTGGGGGGAGGGGGGAGGACTTCTTAGAAGCACCCCTGCTTCTCAGAAGGCGCGGGCCTTGTCTATATAGATGTGAGGCCGGCGCCGTCTATGAAGCAGCCCCCTTCTGAGAAGCCCTCCCCCCTCCCCCTGCCCCCTTGTGCGCGCCGCCAACCTGAGGGGCCCTCACGCTGAGAGGGACGCGGCGAAGAAGAGGAGGGAAGAGGAGGGGCCCTCACGCTGAGAGGGCCCCTCCTCTTCCCTCCTCTGGCGAATGCGCGGCGAGGAAGAGGAGGGGCCCTCACGCTGAGAGGGACGCGGCGGCCTTCCACGGCAGCTGCACCGCAGGCCCCCCGACCGCGGCAACACACGGACGCCCAAGCGAGGGCGCGGGCGCGCAGCCACGGCCGAGCGAAAGCTCGACGTCGGCGCTGCTCTCGGCTGCCCGACAGGGTGATCCTAGGCAAGAGTGTCCTTTGGTGCGCGGCTTTTAGGGGCGCGAGGGGGCCAAACTCAAGCGCGAGAGCCGCTGCTATCGCATCGCATTCGGCGATCGGGGGGGCCCCATGGGCCCGCACCAGAAGGTGACTCCAGCGGAGGGTCACTCATACGTATAATCGATGTTCGCAGAGCGGGGAGCACAGGGGTCCAGCGCATTCCTCGACGAAGCCAGGTCGAGAATCAATTCGGGTTGGGATACATCGAGAATCTCTGGGATGACGCGGCTCTGCAGGGTGTGTCGGGCGCCGCGGCCTCCTCAAAGCGTTCCGGCACGCACTGAGAGCCTTCCGGAACGCTATGGAACGGATTCATCCTGGCCCCACCCCCATCCGGAACACGCCGACCACGGCATTCCCAACTTGCTGTGGAGCGACCAGAATTTCGGCCGGCGTCCATGTCCACGTCCAGGGTCTCGCGGTCGGGACTCCTCGGCCGCGACCCCTGGGCCACTGGGCGCCTGTGCGCGGAAGCCCCGCGCGGAGCGCACCCGTGGGACCGCGCCAACTGCCCCTCAGACCTCAGATCGCGCCCCGCTGCGGGGACCGCGGGGGCACGGGTACGGATACCTGGCGAGACAACGGCTTGCTGCACGGGTCACGGTGAGCGCCCTCGGCCGTGGTGTTGCCAAAATGTTGAAGGGTCTCTGGGGTGACTTCCAAGTTCTCGGGCCACCAAGGTCCAACTAGTGCCAACCCCCTAGTCCCACCAGCCCTCAGTGGTTTACGTGCTTCCTCTTCCAACCATCTTGTTTCCCTTCGGGCAGGGGTTTGCCCAGTCTGGTACTCCCTTCTCCTTGTGGCTGGCCGGGGCGCCCCGCGAGCGGCAAGAGCATCCAAAGTAGCCCAAGATGACTTCAAGAGGACCTCAGAGAGCTCAAGATGGCCTCGAATATCCAGAAAAAGAAAAGCCATCTGAACATAAGCTTTTGGCGTTCCGCCCGGATTTCTTGGATTCGCGCTGGACCCCCCTCCCTGGTGCGCGGAGCGCGCCAAGGGCGGCGCCGGAGGTGCCGCCCGGGGGAGCCCCGGCGCGGATCGGAGACACCCGCGCGGAGCGCCAAAAGTATATGTTTATGTGGGTTCTTCTTCTGCGAATATCGGTCAAGACATCAGAAGATGGCGCCATTCTGCTTCGAGCATGCTCCAAGAGGGCCCAAGACAGCTCCAAGACGGGCCCAATTGGCCTCTGAGCCTCCCTAGGACAAACCCAAGATGCCGAAGCCTCTCCAAAACCTAAGGAGGATCCATGCTGGTTGCCTTTTGCTTCGGGTGGCCCTCCGAGGCCTCAAGAGGGCTCCAGGAGGGCCCAAGAGGGGCCCAAGAGGGCTTCAAGACAACACCAAGAGCGCTCAAACGCGCCCCGACAGCGGCCCAGGGGGCGATGCTAGGAGCTCTGGAAGGCCGAGGCTGTTAGCGTACCCCTCCTCATTTGCTCGATCGCCTCCACGTTGGCAACAACATGGTTCCCAAGGCCCCCACAAGGCACAAAAAGCCCCCAAGAGGCCCCCAAGAGCCCCCAAGAGCGCCCTAAGACGCCCTCAGAATGCGTCCAAGAACCTCCCAAACTCCGAGAGGCATCCAAGAGGCCTCTAGTTCACTGATGCTCCCCGGGGAGTCCGAACGATGCCACGATCCCCCGATAAGGGTAGATCCCCTGGGCATCGTTCCTGGATGGGCTGGTGAGGAGACCCGACGCTTGAAGAATTGCGGAAGTTCCCCAAACAACGCTTGCCTAACACTTAGGGGTTCTTACTTCCGTTTTTGTTGAGGAACTGGACCTGGATGTCGGTCAGGCGGCTCCGCGGTCGCCGTCGCCGTCGCCGCCCCGTCGTCCCGTCGTCGCCGCCCGTCGTCTGGGCCTGGCTGCCAGTCGGGCTGCTCCGTGGTCGCCGTCGCCGCCTCGTCGCTGCCCGTCGTTTGGACCAAGATGCGGGTCTGGCGGCTCCGTGGTCGCCGTCGCCGCCCCGTCGCCGCCTCGTCGCCGCCGTCGGCCTGGCTGCCGGTCTGGCAGCTCCATGGTCGCGGTCGCCGCCCCGCTGTCGCCTCGTAGCCGCCAGTCGCTCGCGCCTGGGTGCAGGTCTGGAGGCCCCGTAGAAGCCGTAGCCGCCCCGTCGCCGCCTCTTTAAAAAGACCCTACCCCTTCCCCCAAGATTATCCGTTCCCCTTTTCGTATTGCACCTTACATATCATTATGCCCCATCGTCCGTCTTCGATGAGAACTCATGCCATCCCAGCCGGGCCGGCATCCCCCCGCCATCCTGTGCGAAACATACTATGCGCACACACTCGTTTGTCCCAAAACATGACGTTCTAAAACCTTTTTTACAATAGACGAAATGCACACGTGCGCGTTGTCGCGCGCGCGTGCCGACATCCGTCACACACCGTAGTTGTCGTACGGGCTTCAAAATCGAATGCCCACGCATCAGATTACAACATATGTTTTCGCATAACGGATAGTCAAAACAAACTTGCGCGCGCTCTTGCGAAGATTTCAGCAACAACAAGATGCCACATCATTTTCACAAACAAATGCCACACGGGCTTCGCGCGCGCATGTTGGCATCGTTCGAACGCCATTGCGCGCGTGCCGTCGCGAGAATATTTTACAACAGAAAAGACGAAATGCCCGCGCGTCGTCGCGCGCGTGTCGAAATCCTTGGAAAAAACGCTGGTTGTGTGGCGGTTTACATATATATAACAAAATGTCAAACATACCCCATAACGCATGGTTTCGCAACATCAATTTTCCAAAAAGCGTACGCTCGCGCTCCTGCGGATTCTTCGGCGAACCATTGGTTTTTTCAACATGTGCCTCGGACTCTGCCAAACGAGCCTCTGGCGCCGCATGCCGAAATTATTCGCGCGCCTTTGCGTACCACGCAGGCCCATCTCGTGCGTCGGCCGCGCGCGCACGTCAAACTCTTTCCAAAACTTTCATCTCCGACGCGAAGACGCCGTCATCGTCGCCGGCGTGATCAGCATCGGCGCCCGCACTGGGCGCGCCGTCGTCGTTGTGGCCACCATAATCGCTTCTATTAGTGTCTACTGTTGCCGCCGTTGTCATGATACCACGGTCGGCCAAGTCGCCGACTCGCACTGAAGCGCCTACTGGGATGTGCCCCGCGGTCAGCGCCACCGCGGCCGCGTCGGTCGCGCCAAACTGGCTGGCCGCTGCGCGCGCGTGCTTGGGTTGGCGCGGCCGCAGAGATGGACCCGCCAACGCCAAGCACTCATTGCAATCGCCACCGCATGCGATTTGCAAACGCGAGCAGTGAAGTTGACAACGCACTGCGGACAGAAATGAATTCTCCTTTCTAAACAGAGAATAGACTCTACCCCCCCCCGGACTTAACACTTCCTCCTGGGACAATATAACTGTATGTGTGTATATATATATATATTCTGCACACTCGTCCATCCTAAATATGAAGTCGTATCATCCCAGCCAAACCGGAATCCTCCCCCCTGAGGTTCCCTTGTTTTTTTTATACAAAAAAGACTATGCGGTGACATCTTGTGTTCTAACATCGCACTTGTTCACGAATCCCTTGCAACAAATGAGGCGAATTGCACACGCGCGCGTCGTCGCGGGCGCATGCCGAAATCCGTCCAAAATCTGCGGTGCCGGAAGGATTTCGCAATCGAGTTTCCAAGAAAATGCAAAAAAACATGGTCTCGCAACACTGATTTGCCAAACAAGCTTCCGCGCGAGCTCTTGCGATTTTTTATATAAAACATCAAGATTTTCACAAAATGCTACCAAAGGGGCTTCGCGCGCGCATGTCGAAATCTGTCGAACGCCCTTGCGCGTGTGCCGTCGCGAGAATCCTCTGCAACAAATGGGACGAAGTGCAGACGCGCGCGTCGTCGCGGGCGTATGCCGAAAACCTTCAAAACCCATCGGTTTCGGAAAGATTTCAAAATCGCGCGCCCAAAAAACATACAAAAACATAGGGTTTCGCAACACGGATTTTCAACAAAAGCGTGCGAGCGCGCTCTTGCGTCGTCGTCGTCGTCGTCGCCGTCCTCCCTCCTCCCGCGTCGTCGTCGTCGTCGCCTACGTCGTCCTCTGTCTTTTCTCGTGTTCGTCGTCGTCGTCCTCTTTGGCGTCGTGGTCGTTTCCGTCGTCGTTGTCGCCGTGGTCGTCCTTCCTCCTCCTCCCACGTCGTCGTCGTCGTCGTCCGTCGTCGGCGTCTCGTCGTCGTCCCTCCTATTTCGTCGCCGTCGTCGTCTTCGGTGTCGTCGTCGTCTTCCCTCCTCCCTCGTCGTTGTCGTTCGCGTCGTCGCCGTCCTCCCTCCTCCCTCGTCGTTGTCGTCGTTGTCGTCGTTGTCGCCGTCGGCGTCCTTCCTCCTCCCTCGTCGTCGCCTTCGTTGGCGTCTTCGTCGTCGTCTTCGTCGTCGTCGGCGTCGGCGTCGTTGTCGTCGTCGAAGTCGTCGGAGACGTCGTCGGCGTCGTCCTAGTCGTTGTCGTCGTAGTCGGTCTTAGGAGGTTCTGCAAACCAAGATGCGGGTGGGTGGGTGGGATGTTTGCGTGAGCAGTGGAGAGGACAGCTTCAAGACGGTCAAAGTGGATTACACCACGTAGATTGTACCACGTACGTTGCACAGCATAAACTTTCCTTTCTGCAAGGCGATTAGGATCTACCGCCCCCCCGAGGCCGGGATTGTCATCCCCCTGGGGATGTGTAAGTTACTTATGACTTCGGCCCGCAGTTCATTCTCGATACGACGTCTAGCCAAGCACGCTTCGACCCCCCACGCCACCCTCTGCAAACAAGCACTGCGCGCACACTCGTTTATAGAAGTAGCAACAATGTTCGAACAAACCCTTGCTAAACATAGGGCGAAATGCACACGCCCACGCCGTCTGACGCGCATGCTGGGACCCTTCAAAAACCGAAGGCTTCGCAAGGACTTCAAAACCGAGCGCCCGACAAACAGATCAACCCGCACGCGGTTGTGCAGCATGTGTTTGCAAAAGGAGTCTGCGCGCGCGCCTTTGCCAAGCCGTGCGAAAACAAAGGGTATTCAACATGTTCATCACATGCGGTCAAGCGGGCCTCTCGCGCGCGCACGTCGAAACCCACGACGTCGCCATATTACTGCGTCCGCCCGAGTCACCGACTCGCACGGAAGTGCCCGCGCGTCAGCGCGACCTGCGAGACGCGCTCGAAAGTGCCCAGCGGTCAGCGCCACCCCAGCCGTGCCGGTCGCGCCAGACTAGCTGGCCGTTCTGAGCGGGAGCCTGCGCGTGCTAGCACGGCCGCAGCGACGCGACAGCCAGAACCAAGCAGTCATCGCAATCGTCGCCGTATGGGTTTTACAAAACAAGTTGTGGATGGGTGGATGAGAGGATTGCGCGAGCAGTGGAATTGTTAACTTCAAATTCAGCAGGGTGGCAAGCACCATATAGATTGCACCACAGGGATTTCACAACATAAATTGCACCACCTAGTTGGCACAACATGCACTGCACAACGGGGGTTGCACGACATAGATTGCACACCATTTATTGCACTACGTAGTTCGCACCACATAGGTTGCTCACACATCTACTGGACAAGCGCATTCTGTTTGGCGTTTGGGCTCCACGCTAATTAACATCTTAAGTTCCGAATGAAATCGCGGAAACCATGCAAAAGATAAACTTCAAGCTGACGCTGCCTTGCCAGTGGAAACGGGTCCTGAGCACCAAGGCTATTCCGATGACCAGCTTTTGATCACGAGTCATGTCTTGTAATCCCTGGGGCGTGGAACCAATAACCTTGGACACGAAACAGGCAAAACCATGATGTTATTCTCCCAAGGCCCATTCGTATTGACGATCTTGGTTCGGAAGTGGAATGTCGGTCCATTCCCACACCTGTCCTGTGCTGCGTTCTTTGGAGCATTTCGAAGAGAATCCAGCCGCGGCGGCAGGATATTTCCTGGAGGCCCAAACTGTATGAACACATGCACAGCACAACAACTCGATCCTAAAACCTCGATCCCAACTTTGCATACGCCGACGACCTGTAACAACGTTCATCATCGCCTGGACGAGGAGGAAGAAGGGAATGTGGAGGAGGAGGAGGAGGGGAAAGGAGGTCGTGGGCGGGAAAACGAGGAGGACAGAAGAGGAGGCAGGAGGAAGGATAAGGAAGGAGGAATGAGGTGGAAAAGGGAGGAGGAAGAAGGAAGGAAGAGGGAAAGGATAGAGGAGGAGCATTAGGAGAAGGACGATGGGTATTAGGCAAAGTGGGATGGATGGATGGATGGAGCAGCCCTGGTGGGCAGGCATGGTGAGGCTGCGTAGGAGGGGGGGGAAGGGGGCAAGCTAGGTGCGCTGCTCCCGTGTGCCACAGATGGGCATCCTGCCTGTCCCGCCCATCCCTTGCACCGCGTTCTGTCCGCCGGCTGAGGTGCCCTAGATCACCTTGACCCCCAAAGTGGGCACCCCCATCGCTTTCTCTGGGGTGGACGAGGAGGAAGAGGCAGGGATGAGCAGACTGGTGACGACGGAGGAGAAGTAGGATGAGGAGGAGGAGGAGGAGGAGGAGGAGGAGGAGGAGGTGGAGCTCCTGTGCGGCAAACACCAGATAGTCGTAGGAGAGGATTTGGTGTCACCCCCATCGCTTTTAGCCTCGGCGCCCCGCAACTGGGGGACGCCAGCGACGGTCCGCTCGGCAAGCGTCGGCGCACGGCCGCACCTCAAAAAGGATAACATCGATGCTATGAATTTAAACATACGCTCCGGCTGGCACAACTCCCCATACAAAGACCACTGCAAGCTTGCGCGCCAAAGCGGCGCGGGGCGAGCTCCGTCCAGGACCGCCAGCGGAGAGAGGCGGGCTCCTTTTGAAGAGGGAGGGCCGCATCACAGAGACCTGCCAAGCACAGCACTGCCAGAGAACTCGGCACTCGCTCTCGCGCCGCGGTGCGGGGCGAGATCTCTCCAGGACCGCCCGCGGGTGGAGATGGGCCCCCAGGGAGGGGAGAGGCAACCACAGCGACCCGCTTCAAGCGCAACACCAGCAGAAAACTCGAGAGCCTTCGGACCCTCTGAAGCCTCTACTCCGCAATGCTCATGCAACAAACAAAGTACCATGACCTCCGGCTCTTTGTCAGAAGCAGCAACGATGAAACGGCAAACTTCCGAATCAACCATCTTTCCAATCCAGCAACGGCGGACCAACAAGCGAGCCAGAACCGAACCTGGAGCGAAATTGTGCAGGGCTTCGCGAATTACTGCTTGGTGTGTTGCCGAACCATCGGCTACCAAGCACAACGCTGCAGCACCAAACTGAAAGATGACCCTCCTGGCCCTTTCCCGTGAAAAGACTTCATGGCAACACAAAATGGGATGCTCGACAGTCAAGCTGAATTGATACATCACCGCCACCTCACACAACCTGTTACGCTGGGAAATGACCACAGCGAGTTTCAACGCCACATCCGCCTTGGCCTCCGTAGCCGATGCCAATGCCCGTCTTTTGTGAGCCAAAAGGGAGGAGGACGAGCAGCAGCAGCAGTAATTACTGGACGAACAGGAGGAGCAGTAGGACTAGGGAAGGCGGAGGAGGAAAAATGATGGTGACGGCAACGACGAGGAACACATCGGATCCTGAAATGTGGCTCGTGCTTTGGCGAAAACGCGCGTCTGAACGACGGGGGCACAGCGCCGCCACTGGAATGCGGCCAACGCTGCCGCGGGAACACACTTGAGCGACGAACTGAAAAGGGGTCTTACGCATGATGTCATCGCGACCTTACGCGGCGGCTTACGCGGGCCGCCAGCGCGGCACGCCACATTGGAGACGAGGGCGCTTACGCGCGACTTTACGCGGGCGGATTACGCGCCAATGTCGGTGAAGACGTCCCCTTTTGCTTGCGCCGCTCCCTTGCTTTTTTTGACTGCTGGAGCCAAGCGCGCACAAGCATGACATGCGGGAAAGGCGGCGGGGCGCCCCTGAACACAGCACGATTTGGGAGAGGAGGGTAGCGATGATACGGTGCAGGTGTACCAAGGAATGGGACGGGGGGGAGAAGGAGCAGGTGAGGAGGAGGAGGAGGAGGAGGGGGAGGAGGAGGAAGAGGACGTTCCAAGGGACTTTCCCAAACCGACGCTGTCGGGGCTCTGGGGTGCTCACGAGGACTTCGTGTGAGTGGCCTCCCCTGAAACACGCGCGAGAGTACCAACCTGCCCAGTCTGGAAGGTGGGGTGCATTCTTCCGAAAGGCCTCTGAGGTGCCCCCTACTTTATTCCGATATTCAGCGCGGGGGGTGCCACGCCTGCGAAGATTTCCCAGGGCCTAGTCTTCACGCCGGCGAATCATACGTCGCCCAAGCGCCGGCGAAACCTACGCACCATCTCAGGGTCGCCAATGGTAATGGTGAGTATAATGAATATGAGAATGATAATGGTGATGGCAATAGTTATGGTGAAGACGATCACACGATAACACGATCATGAACGGTGCTGCCAGATGCGGCGAATGGACCATATTGCAAAGATGCGGTTGCTGGATAATTGCCGAACGTCTGTACGATGAACATCCCAATGACCGCCAATATTGCGAGCGACATGTTTACATAGGCGCCGGCGAAAATTAAACGGCCACCTCGCGAGGGCAGGCGGTAAATATTCTTCGGGACCACGCCGATGAAAATTAGACTGGTGCCCGAAAGTGCGCGCTGTGAAAGTTACACCAAGGCCCTGCGCCCACAATTCACCCAAATCCACTGCGGCTTGCAGAATGCGAGTTCGTGGGGCTCGCGTCCGCTCCTGACCCCCAGGGCTAGCTGGGTGCGGCGCGGCTGGTTGGGCGGGGGCCGTTGGCGCCCACTGGAAAGCTCAACGTTCATTATTTGATTACAGGAGAGCAGGCTGACAGAACTACGGCAGTCGAGGCAGCGCCGTCTGTATCCGGCGTTGCAAAGGGCGCATGTTCCTCTGCGCGATGGCTAAAGCCGAGGCTTGGGATCTCCCCGCGATTCTCTTAGACTGTCTCGCCGAGGGCTCCCGGTTCTCTCTCAAAGGCACTTGAAGCGGCACGAACTATTCTATGTCTAATCGAGGCGGAGATGGCGACATCCCACTTATAACAGGAGAGGCGAGCAAAAGAGATCTGGTAGTCCCCTGCGGCCTTCCCCGCGAGTACGTCGGCGGCCTCGTTGCCGCGCCGCGCGTAGAAGGGAACTCCTTTGTTCACGTGCTCGTCGAGACTGAGATGGCTGCTCTGCCACCTGACTTCAACTCTGCTGTCTCATCGGTCGATGGCGGCTGCGCCAATTTCAGCCCACGGGCCCCCAGTAGCATTCCAACTGGCTGGTCTGGCGCGCCTGCCGTTCATCCATCCTTTGAACAACTCTACTGGGCCGGTCCACTACCGAAGGCTGCCGCGCGTGATCAAGATGGCTGAGATGAACTGAGAACTCCGCTCTATTGATGGTGCGCCTCGGGCCCGCGAGCGGGGCGCAGGCTCCTCCTCTCACTCTTGGGTTCTCAAGGTCTCCGACACCGAGTGCGACCCAGCTCCATCCACGCCTGCTCCATCTTGCGTCATCCGACTCTGCGCCCCCGCCACCGTCGCCACTGGCGTAGACTCCACCTTCCACGCCTTTGCCGTTGTGGTGCGCCGCCGCCTTCTTCCATGGCGCGCTTCTGATGTCACCGATGACGGCGTCGATGATGGTAGACGGGTCCTTCTCGGCCGCCTCCTAGGAGATTTCCCAATCGTCACCTCTGGGGTCGGCCCAGCGCGCGGCCGTCTCGGGTTCCCATCCGGCTCCCCACACGGCAAGAACGAGCGAGCCCCTGAGACCCCGTCTCTGTCTCCACCTGCGCTGCTTGGGCGCGAGCTTCAGTCTGGCAGATATCTCGGCCCAAGCTCGTGCGATCCGACCCCTGAAGTCAGGTCGACAGGCGCGCGACTCAAACCATGCCCGAAGTTGGGCTCGAGGAGTCTCCGGCGCCGGGCCCTCCCCAACCAAGATCAGGAAAGAAGTAGTGCACATCCCAGGCCTCGACCCTGCAATCGCCAAGACATATCTTCTCCTCGTGTGTGTGTGATTGCTGATGGGGGTCTCGCCGTGGACTCTGACTCCGTGCGCATGCGCTGACATCGCCCCTTCGTTCAGCATGTGGAATCTCTTCTCTCTTCCTTCCCCAAACATTCATCCTCGCGTGGGCCTTCGCATCCCGGCGGCGCGCGTCGCCCTGCGGGTGGCACCTCGGCCGCTCTGTCGATGCCCAGATCATGCGCCTCTGTAGCTGATGTCATGCCAACGGCCAACTTCTTCAATCTGGTCGTGATTACCTTGGCCATCTGCCAATCTGACTTGAAAACCACACTCTGGTCAGCGAGCTCCAGGCCTTCGCGCGCGAGGCTGCGGGCAAGCTGCTTCATCGTTGCCACTGCGATGTCCTCGGCCACCTTGGAGCTGCTGCAGGCTGCGGAGCTGACGTCGTTGAACCAGGCCCTGGGCATGGCCTTGGGGGCGACGGCCGTGACGGACTCCAGCGCCGCGCGCGGCGGCCCGCGCCAGGTTGTCGGCGTGGCGGGAGCCTGCTAGGAGAGAGACATCTGCCTGGCATGGGAGGCCATACGCCCCCATATGTCTGACCATCGTAGGCACGCAGTGGATCTGAAGCTCGGGCGCGAGGATCCTCTTGGGGATGTTCAGCTCCTCGCAAGCTGCGACCGCCGGCGCTGGCCGCCTCGTTCTGGAGCGCCCTGGCAAGGGCCTCTCTCAGGCATTCGGATCCTCTCAGGGCCCCGGCCCAATGGCTCGAGGCCCTTGTCACCCGATCCTCCATCTGGGGTCTAGTCATCATATGCCAGCAGCGGATCAGCCACGCGATGGGGGCGAGCGCCCTGTCGCCTGTCCTTTTGGGTTCCAGCATGACGATGGCCCGCTGCAGCTGGCGCGGCCAGGACTGCAGGGCTTCGACCCACGAGCGCCTGTCGAGAAGGCGTGGGCAGGCGGCGCACATCAGAGGCCGCCAGCCTGTCGACGCCTCTGCCCCTGTCGGGCCGGGGGCTGAGGGCCTCG